ATGGAGCCTATTTATCATATATTGATCAAATGTTTATCATATATATATATATACATTTATTTTGAAGATGTTACTAATAATCAAGAAGATTAACTTTAAAACAATTTCTGAGTTTAAAAATAAACTTGGAGTTAGAATCAGCAAAAAATGTAGATGGTTGATTGTCCTAATATTTGAGAAGATTCCATTACATCCATCAGCAAAAGGGTAACTCTTTTTTTTTATTTTACAGGAAAGTTTAAAATTGAGAAATGTTTCAAAATTTCAAAATTTATATTAGATATAAAAAAATTACACACAGACTCTACACAGAGGGATGATAAAGGGGAAATTTTAACTCTTAACTCCTCTCCACACCTAGAAGTAGCTGGAAGCCATGTCAACTATATAGTATAACTGTACTTGCTTAGGCAAATTATAGGGCATGTTCATTGATTGACAGCCTCCTTCAGTCCAATATGCAAATTTTTTGCTGAACATTCCAGGCAAAATATCTCTTTCTTTAGCTATGAATGCTATGGGAGGTACGACAGTTAAATATCACGCAGCCGTTTGTAGGTAAAGAACATGTCCTCTTAACCTTTGGCATAAATCCAAGATTTGGAAGTAAGGTTAGCTTTTCATTTACCCGAAAAAACATGGAACTCACCCATCCAGTTAGATGTTAACAGACAACAGAAACCAACATGACAAACAGAGATCGCTGCCAAATACATCCAGTAAATATTGATTGTATAGAAGGCTTTACGGTTTCCACCGGGTCCTGTAGGACATTTTAAATTGTAGCTACAGAGCAAGAAATTGGGCATTTGTTGTGCTTTTGAACAGTCATATAGGGACTTTTTTGAAGGGGGGGCATGGAGGACCCCTTGAATTTTCTCATTAACACTGTGTGGGACAACTGCAGACTGTAAATTGAGCCCCTAACAAACCAGGCATAGTCTTTCAGAATAGAGTAAAAAGAATGTCTGAGCAGCACTACTTCTCTCTGAAATGACGGTGAGGAGTTTGGTCTGGGAGTATTTACACTGTTTAATGGCAACAAGGATTCAGAATACAATTTCATGTGTTTTGTTTTGTAAATATAAACACTAGATAATCTTAAGTTATCACCAAAATATTGCCCAGTATAACTTGGTCCTGCCACCGACATGGCAGCATCGATTTCTCTGCTGTGCTCAAAAAGTCAGGATGTGATTATAAAAAAGTGGAGGGTGTTGCACAACAACATTGTAACATGACAGAAGAAACATGGTGGAAACAGGCACTGTGGATAGATTTTTTGATTTAAAGCGCTGCATGGAGTTGAGTTCTGACATTCCTCTTAGAGCAACCGGAACAGCTTGTTCAAAAAGCACTAGTAACAACTCAAAGCATTTCCTACCAGAATGTTTAATTGCACTAAAAAAGGAGAGCTATATCACAGTCTGCATCCACTTAACTGAAGTAAAGTGGCGGAATGATAAACCCTTTTGATGGTAAGACAGGGCAAGTTTATTTGTATAGCAGAATTCGTTGCAAGGACAATTCAGAGTGCTTATAATAAGGATAGTTTTACATCTCTTTACAAAAGAAATCTTAAAGGCCGGAACACACCGGATCCTATTTTGCATCCGATCCGACAACAAATTGTGTCCAACGTTGGACTCCGCAGCAATTCAGCAGCTATTTCATGATTCTGACAGGAAGAGAAACGTGGTTACAAAGTAAAACACATCCACTTTAGGGGAAAACACAAATAAATCTGCACAGGGAAACTGTCAGTTTTGGAGTCGCACATACCATTTAAAGCAAGCAAGTTTTTTTTTTTAATACATTTTCATAATCTGTCTGAGTCAGATGTAGGAAATTGTCATTTGTGTGTCCCAGACAGAAGAGAAAAAAGAAAAAATCTGCACAGATCTAATGACCCTGCCTAGTCAGAGCCTCTCTATACGCAGTCAGTTTAACATGGAAAAAAATCGGATCGGAGATTGAAGTCATACACAACTGGTGTGTTCATTCCTTAAGTATTCCACACATTTTATTCATCTTTTTAGTCACCAAATAGGTTCCTGTTTTGTATTATCTTATAACGCAGTTTAATACTGAGTAAGAAAACAAACTTTTTTGTTTATTCAGTCAGTATTTATGACAGCCGGCACAATAAACTGTTATAATATGGTTTACTTTTTAAACTCAGCATGAAAATCCATTTTCCATCCACTTTCTCCCGCTAAGTCCTTGTCAGGGTCGCTGTGGGGCCGGTGCCAATCTCCGGCTAGGGTTAGTCTATGGGCATGAGGCGGGGCACACACTGGACAGGTCGCCAGTCTGTCACAGGGCAACACAGAGACACACAAAGACCATGCCCACACACACTCACACCTATGGACAATATAGAGTAAATAAGTCATGTTTTTGGACTATGGGAGGAAGCCGGAGTACCTGGAGAAAACACACGCATGCACAGGTAGAATATGCAAACTCCATGCAGAAAGACCTCGGGTCAGGAATCGAAACCAGAACCTTCTTTCTGCGGGGAAACAGCGTTACCCGCTGCACCACTGTTTTATTGATGCAAAAAAAGACCAGTATCTCACTTTATCTGTTCTCCTGAGCTCCTGAAATGAGAAAAGTACACTTTTCTGTTTAATGCAATGCTTTATGATTGTGTATATCGGAGTCTGCACCACTTGATATGCACAGTCTATTTCCAAACAGGGATAAGGTGGCTTGTTTACCTTAGGATTCAGAGATTTTACTTTGAAATTTCCCCTAAGTGGATTTGTCTTACCTTGACACCTTGTCTCTCCTCTCATTTTCAACGGGGTACAAGTATCACAACCTTGTACCATTCAATTTTTCATTAAACCAGACAATAAAAGGAGTCTTCTGTGTTCTGGCTCTTGATTTAGCCCAACAACTGGCCTACTTTTGTGCGTTACTCTTACCTCTGAAAAGCTGAAAAAAACTTAGGCAGTCTGCTTGATTTTGTCGTACCTCATTAATAGAATTTTAAACTCTGCAAATAGTATAAGAGAAAAATAACTGACCTTTCAAAAAAACCAAATATCTAAAGCATTTGTAAAACCTTTGTCTGATTGCAACTAAGAAAGGACAGGGAAATCTGCTAAGAAAAAGATAATAAAAATATAAAAAAAATATTTCCTCATTCTTCCTCATGTTATCTAAATCTTGTTTTGGAAAACAATTGAAAATATTTTTCCAGTACCAACATTTAAAATAACTACAGAACAATGAAAGTTATTTGGTCAACATTCTTAGCACCATTTCAACATGCTAGTGGTTCTTTTATAATGTAACATAAGGGGCTAAAGACCAAGGAACCAGTGGTGGGTCTGAGAAGTAGTAAGGCCCCAGTGACCCATATTTCTATCTGTGGGGTCAACATGACACTGTGGAGGAATAAAATACTTAGGGGTGTCATGATCTTGAAACTTTATTATATATATATACTATTTTCTTAGGCGGCTGAGGTCCTTTAACATCTACCGGACAATGCTGCGGATGTTTTATGAGTCTTTGATGACCAGTGCCATCCTTTATGCTGTTGGGTATTGAGGCAGCACACTGAAGGTGAAGGACACCAATAGACTTAACAAACTAATCTGCAAGGCCAGTAATGCTGTTGAAGAGCAGCTGGACCCTCTTACAGCAGAATGTGGGTCAGGATAAAATCCATGCTGGTTTCTGGGTGCATTGACTTTGGGGTGAACCAGCTTTTGTCTCACGGTGCGGGGTACCGGGTTTAAAATGCACAGAAACCTGGTGGAAGGTTTTCAGCAACATCTGGAATGACGATGTTCCTTCTTTTGTTCTCGTCCCTCTCAGCAGACCTCTCCTTATTGGTTTATAGAAAAGTCCATCTGGGAGGTCCTGATATCCCCCTGTTCTCTAATCCTCCCTCTGTTAGTGGTGGGAATGGTTTCTGCTCGTGTCTGCAGGGTTTCAATGAGGTCTAGTTTGTGTTCCAGTGGGTGATGTGAGTCAAACGGAGGTACTGGTGGGTGTGTGTGGGTTTCCTGTAGACTTCTATGTCGAGTTTTCTGTCTTCCATGATCTGAACCACATAGTCCAGGAAGGCAAGGCTGACATCTTTTAAATCTTCTCGGGAGAACTGTTTTTTTCTGTCCGCTGCGTTGATGTGGTCTGTAAACATGTTAATATCCTTGGTCTATATTTTGACCCATGTGTCATCCACGTATCTGAACCAATCACTGGGCTTTGTTCCCACGTATAAAGCTCTGCTTTCTACCTCTTCCATGAATAAGTTCACCACTACGGCAGACACAGGAGATTCCTTCGCACATCCATGCCTCTGCCTGTAGAAATATTGGTGGAATTGGAAGTTGGTGGTTTGGCACAAGTCCAAGGCAGAACACAGTGGTCAGGTTGGTCTTGAAGTAAACGCATCTTTACTGTGTAGACTGCTTCTGTGGGGGGGAGGGAAGTAAAAAGACCTCCGATGTCATAGACATACTATCTTGATCGAGCTCTTTGTATTTACTTATTCTGAACCTTTAATAGTTGAGATGGTCAGGAAACTTTTATGGGCCACCAGTTAGAACTAAACCCCACGATAAAACCCATCAATGTTATCCGCTTGGTTTATATTCTAGGCATTTAAGCACCTTTTTTCACATTTTATGCTTCCAGGTTATTACATATGTCCTGATATATGATTTTTTTTCTTTTTATTTGAAAGCTGGAGTATAAGAAAACATGCAGTGTGAATTTCATGTTCACAACCTAACTTAAAGTTTTAGCAGTAACTGAAATCACCAAAGCTATAAACACAGTTTTATTTCAAAGTTGCACCACTCTTCTAAAAAAATGCTGCTAAATGAGACTCTGCTTCCAGGCCGCTTCGCTTATTCTCTATGTGATGTTTTCTGATCCCAAACTTCTAGATGATGTTTTTATTCAACATAAATGCTGAACAGATTCCTTATAAGAGGCTGCTAAATAAATCCTTTTCTGTTTTTATCTCTCTCCAGGGTCCAAACTGTTGCTCAGATTTTGCTGTGTCCTTTCACTACATCTATCCTGTCCAGCAGTATGTGTTGGAGTACTTCACCTATCATCTACGACCATATGGATACTTTTATAGATATAGACCCGATGAAAGCAGGTACACAAACACCACAGATAACAGCAGTGGGTGAGCAGCACAGGGGAACGGAAAAGGATCCAGAGAAGGAGTGAAGATAAGAAGCGGGATGAGACGGGGTTTGGACAATCAAAGCAATACTGAAGCAATATTGCTGATTCTTGTGGAATCTGGGAAAACAGAGGAAGAGTTGGGAGGTTTGAGAAGCTAAAGAATGGATGAAAGTGACTAAAAGAAGAGCAGCCAGCAGAGTTTGCTGATTATTAACTGAATAAATGGGTGACTGGAGGTGGGGGGGGCTTTACTTCATTTGGTGGAGCATCCATACATGTTCTTTGGTGAGGTCTGGAGCAATACTAATAATTAGCTTTGTCATTTTCAACATTCAGAGTCAGAGGCTCAGACACTTTTTTACCTCAATTAATACTTTCTTTTTTAATAGCTTTCTTTTACTTTTTTATTTTCTGATCAGAGAATGGATAATATTAGATATCAGTATGAAGGTCACTGCTGAAAAACTTTGCAGATTCATTTTACTCTTCCTGTCTCCGCCTTCCTTTCTCATCTGGATTTCAGCAATCGAGCTAACGTGGGAGAAACAAGATCAACTAGAAAGGCGTCTGCCTGGAATGAAATGCACGTTGGCTGGTTGATGGTGTCTGTGCGCCTGTGGGGGGTTATTCCCAGTCAACACTCCTGGGGGGTGCTGTCTATCCACAATGCAAAAGGACCCTAAATGATTTCTGCCTCTAAGCAATAGATATCTTTCCTGGTTTAATTTCAAAATGTTGGACTTTGTTTCCAAGTTTGAAGACGTTTTTCTTCCCATCCAGGAAGCTTTTTCAATTCAAAATCCCAGAAATAGCGTTGAGTTTGAAGATTTATTTAGTAGCCCAAACATTAGTTTTGGCTCAAACATGCAAATGGAACTAGAAGAACGGGTCCGCGTCTTTGGAATGGGGAGTGGTTTAAGGTTCCTGGTTTAACGATATTTCTGGAGCCCAGAGTTGGGTTCTCTGACCAGCTTCAGCTAGTCTTCCACTGCCTGTTACAGGCCAAAGTTGTTTTTCTACTTTCCTTATCTTAAACTTATTAAAGTTAAACATCTCTGTTTTTATTCCATATAATAGCGTGGATACGCTGCTAAAGTCTGTGATGTTTGATCTGAGAATAATGTCAAAACCAAATGTCAAATGCAACAGCTAAAAGGAGAAGTCTAAACAAGGACGTTATATTTATAAATAAAAAGGGTTTATTTTGGTTTTTACGGTGCTTTGTGTTTTATTCAATATTCAAATATCGGTGGTCCTATATGGTCAATTTATCAGAACACCTACAAACACAGTAAGATATTGCAAAAAAGCAATTCCCTTAAAAAGAAAAAAAAAACAGGAAATGTCTTTATATTAATGAAACTAAACTATACCCTTACTGGTTTAATTCTAAGATCAAACTGAAGCCTTTGTTGGGCTGAGAAGCATCTAAACCACAGAAACCAGTCTTTCAACATCATAAATAGTAAATAGGCACGACACAAGAACCAACATGGTTTAAATGCTGCAGGTGTTGTCCTCTTATCAGCCCTGAAGGAATGTGATTGGCAGCAGGCCCAGCCTCCCTGCAACCCATCGGCTACGTGTAGATGCAGGCATTCCTACAGTTCACCTCATTCTCAAAGTTGTTTACATTGCCGTGGCAACCTCCGAACCAAAACTGGGCGCAGGCCAGTAGTACCACCTGTGCTGTCGACATGGACCGGGTTCAAGAGGCTGGTTGCAGCCCTGACCTGGAAGAAGAAGGATCATCACCATCATTTCATGCATCAATGTGGCAGGTCACTGAGAAAAGGTTGATTTTAAAGATTCCTGTAAGGATATTAGTTTATCATTTCACTCATTTCAGAAGTCTGTTAGGTTTTGCATGCTAAAAAATATTGTTGATCTAAATAAACCTGTGTAAAAGTTCCTGACAGACAAACCAGTAGGGTAGCATGCTTATCGTAGCCACATTAGAGAGCGGCCCACCCCAGCAGTCACAGAGTTCCCAGTAGATCCTTAATGAATTGATCTTGCATCTAGTAGCACAAATAAAACTAAATAAAAACACTTAAAATGAGCAAAAGTCACTGCGTCTGTTTTTCTAGGTTTGTAACTGATATTTAATCTTTCAGCTTTTTTTCTACTTTTTACTTTAAATTAACTTTTTTTTGGCATACTTGTACTTTTGTAAAGTGACTGTAAATAATATTCACTATAATTGTTAATTTATTTGTTTATAGTATTTTTTTGATCAATTATCATGCCTATTTTCATTATCATGTCTTTCTCTTACAGCCGCCCAGCTTTCCCAAACTGCCAGGGACAGGGCAGTACAGCTTAGTACTTAGTTTCACACAGAGGTCCAGTAGATGAGGACAAAACTGTGGGTTTTAAAGGTTCTGCTACTTGAGGATATGATCTCAGAGATAGGATGTCTCCCACAGTGAAATCGAAACTTGATCCATAACATAATCCAGCTCCATCAGACACAACATAACATGACAGAACACACACCCCTGTTCAGTTTAATTCAGTTTATTTCTAGAAACAGTTAAACCAGATCATCCAGTCAAACCGATTCATGTTTTAACCTAAGGAAAAACAGTTAATTGCATCGACTCATTGACGCAAAAGCAATTCCTCAATCCAAGCATGAGAATATCATTAGTGACTTTCACCAGAGCTGTTTCAGTGCTATGATGAGCTCTAAAGCCAGACTGAAACTCTTCAAAAAGTTCATTATGGTGGAAGTGATCGCACACTTGTTTGGCAACTACTTTCTCAAGAATTTTGGATCAGAAAGGAAGATTGGATATAGGTCTATAATTGACCAAGTCATCTGGGTCAAGAGACGGTTTCTTAAGCAGAGGTTTAATTCCACCAACCTTAAAAGCCTCTAATATTTGGGGGTGACCTCAACTTTGGTCTAAATGGAGAAATGGACAGGTTGAATACAACAGGGACTCAGCGCAGTTGGCAATTATTAAATATAGTCAAACAATACATGAGTGATTTCGGTCTTTGCGATGCATGGCGATCTCTTCATCCTAACAGTAAGGAATACACTTTCTTTTCTAATGTCCATCATTCCTACTCTTGTTTGGACTATTTCTTAATCAGCAGCTCGCTGCTGTCTGACGTCTCATGTGTGTCGTGAAGATGTGTCGTGAAGCGGTGTTTGTTTGGAGGACCAAAATGCAGAGGCAAGTTGGCAGAGGTGAATTTAAGTGGGTTTAATTAGGTTTACAGGAACTGAGGCAGGAAATCAAAAAATCGAACAAAACAACAACGAACCAGAACCAAGGAGACATCAGGGGTAAACCAAAACTCTAGGAGCTAGGGAGAGATGAGGAAGGCAGGCAGAATTTAGACAAGGATCCAGAAACACGAACTGAAGAGGGAGGGCTTTTAAAGGGGACAGAGACAAAGAGAGAGCTAACAAGGGAATTGAAAACAGGTGAGGGCAGAGCAGAAAACAGAGCAAGAGAAAGAGGACACAAGAGGGCAGCAGAGGACAATAAATGGAAAACCTGGAAGACAGGAACTAATAAGAAAACAACAACAAAATAATAATCAAATAACTAGGATAAAGAAACACGGTGAAAAGAAAACTAAACACTAGAAATCAAGGAGCAAAAGAAAAACATAACAGAAACAGAAACCTAACAAGATGCTATCCATCCCATTTCTCGTATCAGCTTAAAGACATTACAGAAAACTAAAGAAAGAGGGGGACTAGATTTACCTAACTTTCAAAACTACTACTTAGCAAATAGATTACAATACATGTCTAAATGGATAAAACATAATACATTTAGAGATGTATAATGGGGCATGGACACTTTATGGCAGATGCTTGCACTCTGCTAGTGGGGGAAGGGAAGGAAGGGGGGAGTGGGAATGATTTCGGCCTGGAGGGTGGGAGGTGTCGGCCCTGTGGCTGGCTGGCTGCTGGGTCCTGGCCCCGGTCCCTAGTCCCTGGGCTATTGAGGTGCGACTGGTGGGGCCCCGTCTTCGGTGGGGCTCTCGTGGAACAGGGGTGCCTATTTGAGTCAGCGGGGGAGCTGGCTCCCTGGGAGTGCAGTAAGCCCCCCAGTCCTTTGCTCCCCATCCCCGGAATCCTCTGCCTGCCTGATCCATCACACTGCCACACCTGTAGGTTTTTGGGGAGGGGGCCGTTACTTGGGGGCCCCACCTTCTGATGACGTCCCCCACCTCAATTTAATTTTGAATTTTAGACACTTCCATCTACAACATTTTCCCGACACACATCTATGTAGGGCATTGTCTTGGGGGGTGGGGGCGAAGGGCACCTGGGGGGGGGCTTATTTCTTGGCTCCCCCACCCCCTATCGCATTTATACATTGAGGGTTCTGGGTTGTCGATTGGGGGGTGTGTGCTGGCACCGCCTATCTCCCGGAGGAGGGGTGGACTGTGCTGGACACCCCCTTTTGGTAGTCCCAGTTTTAATTACATCATGTTGAGCAACATGCAACAACACCACATTGGAGCGGGCGCAGGGAGGATCGGGGTCTTTCTCACACCCCTATTCTCTGGCTGCCGCCCGCAGTCTGGGGTCTGGAGGAAGAGCGAGCCGCCTGGTCTGTGGTCTTGGCTGCATGAGCAGCGTTCGTTCCTCCTTACAATGGAGAAGTAGTCAGAGTCAAAACAAATTACAGACACTTTGGTCAAACAGTAACATGTTATGAATAAACCTGGAGAAAGAATCTGGTTTGTTATGGGAAGAAGCTATGTCTGGTCTACAGACACCATCCCGCAGAGAATGGTGTGGCCTTCAAGGTGAAACAGACTGCGTGAAAACTTATATAGTGAGTAAATAGGATAAAATAATATATAATAGAAGAGAAATCTAAATTTTCCGACAACAGGTCCATGCTTGGCAACTCAAGTCCAGGACCACCACTTTAGATCAGTGGGATGGATCAGCATCAGCTCTGAACCTGAAGACTGGAGTAACATCACTGGAAACACCAGGCAATCTCCAGTCCTCAGTCATTGGGTGTTTTCAGTAGCAGTTGAGGATTGGCAACCAAGAAATGGTGGCAAACCAATGAAAATTAGACCATTGACACAAAGACAGGGGGGTCCATTGTTATTCCCGGGCATCATTCCTTGTCCTCCAAATCATGCGCCCTTACATGCTCATTTTAGCCCATGAGCACATGGGTACATCCTCTCAGATATTTACCTCTCTAGTAATGTACCAGACATTTCTTCATCTGTTTTCTGATTTTCACCAAAACTCTCCAAGCTTTCCTCTCTGTTGACAGGTGATGTAGTCTCTTAGTTTTAGTGAGGAGGGGGGAAAAGAATCCTGTATGGACTGCAGCTGTCTGATCGACTTTTTAAGGAGACAACTTTTCAGTTATTGTTTCTACAAAAGATGAATGCAAGACTTACTTTAACAAGACCCTGCATAGAAATGAACCTTTTAACTCTCTTCTTTAGCTGATTTAGCTCCTGTCTTTATGAGCCTCTGAATATTCAGGACTGAGTCCATCACCAAACCCAGATTTTAGCCATAACAACTGAAGCTGTATTGAAATGTCACACTTGGAATAAGTGTGATGGAAAATGGATGGATGGATGTACCGTCACTACCCGATATGTCCCGGAAGCGCGGCCCGTCCTGCGTAGGTGCAAACAGCATAATAAGATCCGGATTGCTGAAAAACTATGTAATAACAGTACTAAAAATACTTATGTAAATACTTTAAACAAAGTTTAAAGTATATAACCTACATTGTATATAAAATATACAATAATAACAGTTATTCTGTTTGCACAGGACGGATCAGGTAGCGATAGTGCCTATAGGACCTTGCATGCAAAGGATTGTGGGAAACCATATAGTTCCTAACTTACAGATGGGGATTTGAGGAGGCTGCTTTGCTAAATGAAGCATTGATAGGAAGCATCTGTCAGGTTTGGTGGAAGTTAGTTTAGGATCCAGATGCAGTGATGAGTTTTTGCTGATTTAATACAGACATCCCAAGTCTCCCGGAAGTTCTCCCGGGAGTCCCGGAAGTTCCGGGAGACTCCCTGATAACGATAGTTGTTTACGGATGCTCGCAAGTCGGATAAATTATCCCGGATTATGGACTATGTGAGGCGGTGATCTTTAATGGGAGTGAGAACGAGCAGGCAGTACAATAATTCGTGCATCATGTGCGATTAGAACTACTTCTACTGCGCAGACACCACAAGAGAGAGCAGGGTGTGGGGAGGAGGTGTGTGAAACCCGTCTGTCCAAAGCGATGCTCTGTGCAAAGAGCGTTCCAGGCGAATGGTTGTTAGAGAGCTCGCTGATTGGTTTAGTCAGAACAATAAGCCAATAATTTTCGGTTTACTCTCCAACAGTCACATTTTTATCATTCAAAGCTGTGCATCCTGTGAAATGGCAGAGGTTGAATCCTTGAATAAAAAAAGAGAATATAAAACTCATTTTACAGCAGAATTTACTGAGGTATATCCATGTCTGGTGAAGGTTAAGAAGGATGACACTGTAGCGAGGTGAACTCTATGCAATAGCGCCTTCAGTATTAGCTATGATGGACTTAATGATTGTAAAAGTTTCTCTTCCCATCCAGGAAGCTTTTTCAATTGAAAATGTCAGAAATTGCGTTGAGTTCCAGGTTTTATAGAGCGGAGCAAAACAAAGTCTTGTATGGGAGATTTATCCTGCCATAATGCAAGAGCACATAATTTCAATTTGAGAAAAGAATTTCATCTTCTTGCACTCAAAACTTATAATGCTCACACTCAAAACATGGGCTCTCTCTCAAATATTTTCTCTTCTCTCTCAAATCTTTGTTTCTTCTCTCAGATTTAATGCT